TCCAAGTCACCCTATCATCAACAGCTCTGCTCAGGTTTTACAGACTCAAGGCAGTTGTGGTTTCCTTGATAGTCTATCCATCTAATATAATAATAATAATAATAATAATAATAATAATAATAATAATAATAATGTGCTCATAGAATGTGCTCATCCTCTTTTCCTATTGCCTTCTACCTCACCTAGCATCTTTGTCTTTTCTAGTGAGTCATGTCTTCTGAAATGATCAAAGTACAACAGTCTCAGTTGTCATCTTAGCTTCTAGGTAGAGTTCAGGCTTTATTTGCTCTAGAATCCATTTATTTGTCTTTTGTAGCAGTCCTCAGTATCCGCAACACACAGCTCCACATTTCCAATGATTAATTTTCTTCCTATCAGCTTTCTTCGCTGTCAAGCCTTTACAATTATACATAGAAATGGAAATATGATGGCATGGACCATCCTAACTTCAGTATTCAATGATCTAATTTGACACATTAAGATCTTGTCTAGTTCCTTCAATTGCTGCTCTTCCAAGTCCTAAGTCTTCTTCTGATTTCTTAACTGCAGTCTCCATTCTGACAAATGAATGGGCCAAGGTATGCATTTTTTAAACTATTTCAATGTCTTCACTGTCTATTTAAAGTTATGCAAATCATCTGTGGTCATTAGGTTTGTTTTCTTCATGTTCAACTGCAAACCTACCTTTGCACTTTCTTCCTTCACCTTCTTCAGTAATCATTCCAAATCTTTGCTATCTTCTGCTAGTAGTATGGTGTCATCTGAATATCTTAAATTGTTGATGTTCCTTCCTCCAATTTTCCTGTCACCTTCCTCTGAGTCTAATCCTGTTTTATATATGATTGTTCAGCATCCAAATTAAACAGACAGGGTGGTAAAATGTAGCTGTGAGTGACCACCTTGCTAATTGGAAATCCCACTGCATCTTCCTGTCTCAAGTACAAGTTACACATCAGGACAATAAAATATTGTGGCATACCCCTTTCTTTATGAGTGATCCACAGTTTTTCATGATTTACACAGTCATTGGCTTTGCTATAATCTATAAAGAACAGGCTGATTTTCTTCTGAAATTCTTTGATGTGCTCCATTATTCAACATATGTTTGCAATATATCCCTAGTGCCTCTTTCTTTCCTGACCCCAACTTGTGCATCTGGCATGTCTCACTCCATGTGTGATAAAAGTCTTTGTTGGCAGGATTTTGAACATCACTTTGCTTGCATGGGAGATTAATGCAATGTGGTTACTGCAATCTCTAATGCCCCCTTTCTTGGGGACTGGAATGTATTGAAAGTTTCCAATCTGTGGGCATTCTTTTGTTTTTCATATTTATTGACAGATTTTAGAAATAGAGTGCATTATTGAAGCAGCTCTATTGGTATGCCATCTGTTCCTGGTGATTTACTCAACCGCTCTGGTTACAGCTTCCACTTCACTATCTAAAATTGGAGGTTCATCTTTCAATGGTTGTTTCTTGAATCAATCTGTCACCCTTTCATCTCTTTTATATAATTCTTCAGTGTACTGTTTTCAGTCTTTTTATTCATACTTGGTCATGTGCGTTCCCATGCCAGTCAGACAGCATTCTCATTCTTGATTTAAATTTCTCTTTGATTTCTCTGATCTTGTGGAAGAGATCGCTTCCTTATTTGTTGTCATATTCTGTTTCTCTGCATTGATTATTATAGTAGTTGTTTTTGTCCCTGCAGGCAAGTCACTGATCCTATTTCTGTCACCTTTTACTTTTGCCTCTTTTCTGTCCTTATTTGCCATCTGTCATCTATTGAGGCTCCTTTCTTTTTGGCTGCAGATTATGTCTTTTTGCATTCCTCCCTGGTAATGTCCTTGGGTTTTGGTCCAGAGTTCTTCTGATTCCCAGTCAAATAAGCTTAATAGTGCAAATTACCACTATTACTACTACTACTTCCACTTTTCTCCCGATATAGGGACTCAAGGTGGCTAACAACTAATTTAAAACAGTTCAGGTTAAAAACAATACAAAAGCCTTAAAATGTTGATGCAAAGTTTTAAAGAAATGAAACAATTTGAAAAAGTTGAAAACATTACACATTAACAATTAAAATATATTAAAAACTTTTATACAAACATTAAAATCTGAACTACACAGCATTTAAAAGCCCAGCCCTCATCAGTATGAAAAAGCTTGACAGCACTAGAATGTTTTTACCTGCTGCTGAAAGGAGAGCAGGGACAGGGCCATCCTGGCTTCTTTGGGGAGGGAGTTCCAGAGCCTGGGTGCAGTCACCGAGAAGATTCTCTCTCTTGTTCCCACCAAATGAGTCTGAGAGTGTGGTGGGAAACAGAGAAAGGTCTCTCCTGATGATCTTAATGTTCTAATGGGTTTGTAAAGGCAGATACAGTCCTTCAAATAACCTGGACCCAAGCTGTATAATGCTTTATAGGTCAAAAGGAGCACTTTGAATTATGCTTGGAAATGAACCAGCAACCAGTGGAACTGTTGCAACAAGAGAGTTGTGTGCTTCCTGTAGCCAGCTCCAGTTAACAACCTGGCTGTAGCTCTTTGGGCCATCTGACGTTTCAGACCACTTTTCAAAGGCAGCCCCATGTACAGCACATTATAGTAGTCCAAACAGGATGTAACCATGGCATGTACCACAATGGCCACAGCATAGACACTGTCACCCTGAATATTTTCTCCACAGGACTTGGCATGGCCATTTAGATTACTATTTCATATACATTTCACATTTGTAAACAATTATTTCCAGTAGCCAATGTCATACCTTCACTGAAGTCACCTCCTTGGATCATGAAATCTTTTACAACCCTGTGAAACAGACAACTTTTGTAATGCAATGGCTTCTGGGTTGATTTTCCTGTACCTTTTTCACCTGCAGAGGGAAAAAAAATTCAAATCACATAACTTTTAATTACAGTTTGTCAGAATGCAGCCAAAGCAAAGTGCAAATTGCAAGGAGTCTTCTTTTTACAGTATTTGTTTTTCATACAAATTGTGAGGACATCACTAAAAACAAATATTGTTTTTCTGCTAAGCTTCTATGCAATGACCCAATTCCCTACACAGTTTACATGCCACATCACAAACTGCTTTGAAACTCTCCTAGATTTCCTAAATGGAAGGAGCTACTATTCAGAATATATATCTCAATTCCCAATGGGCATGTGGACATAGTTGTCTGCTTGTATGATTTGTCTTGCCTGTAAAACCAATGTATTCAGTAACAATATACAGTGGACCCTTGTTATACATGGGGGATCCATTCTGGACCCCTCACTGTATAAGTGAAATATCACAGGACCTCAAGTCCCATTGATTTTAATGGTGGCACACTCCTGTGTGCTGCACACACCATTAAAAGAGCTGGGGCTCGCTGTTCACATAACCTTGAGACTATGTATGGCAAACTCGCATATGACGCAGGTGCGCTGTACTAACAATTTAGTTCAGGGGTAGGCAACCTGTCCCCTTTAAGGGCCAAGGGACTTCAGCTCCCAGAAGCCTCAGCCATGTTGGCCAATAGTCCCATGTTGGCCAATATCTCCTGGGATTCTGGGAGCTGAAGTCCCTCGGCCCTTAAAAGGGAAAGGTTGCCTATCCCTGATTTAGTTAGTGAAGAAAGCATTGCAGCATTGGCTTACTGAAATAAAAACTTATCTCACACAAAGAATAACTGCAAAATTATTTAAAGAAGGGCTCTGATTATGGCTGCAACAAATTTATTTCTTTTGCATATACAATAACTCTATCTATATGTCAAGCAAGATCACCAATTATTTGTCCTGTGGTTTGGGGAAAATAATGGGTTACTTCTCAAACATTAACAAAAATGGATTCCAAGCCAAACATTTGCTCAACTGTCTAGCATTCAGTTTTAGTCTTCCTTACTAGTCATGCTTGAAGCAAAACTAGGATTGTTCTTCATGTTTCCTGCATAGTTACACAAATGGATTCTTTTGCACAGAGCATCTTAGGAACACAAATATGCAGCTACACAAATTAGTACTTGAAGAATTTGCTTTATGTCAAGCAGTCTTTTCAAAGCATAAGGCAGGCCATTCTACAGAAGTGTAACCTCACACTAGTAGATGTTCTCTCCTTTTTTCTTTATTTCCTCAAAGATGTAACCAATTTGTGCCACAAGATAGGGCAATATATTCTGTGAATGCCAATGAGAAGGTACAACAAAAGCACAGATAACTAGTTATCCTTACCATTAGATAGCAATGCTAAGTGTGCATAAAGCCAGCTATGTACAAGTCCTTGGTTGGTGAGCAGTCATCTCTGCTGTTGTCAGCAGCCTGCCACACCAGGGAAATTTTCTACTCCTCAACCATGAACCTGCATGGCACTGACTACAGTGCCCTACCCAACGGTAAGAATGGGAACTCCCTCCCTCTACAACAAACACTGGCTGTTTCACACTATCTTGCCAGCTGCAGGTTTTGTTTTTTTTCCCCATTCTTCCACTAACACACTTGCCAGCTTCCACAAAACTAGTAAAGGAATTTTGTTAACTTTTGCATTTGGTCACTCTGAACCACTTCTCTTCTGCAAAAGAGAGGACAATTAGAAGAACAGAGCTCTGTTCTAGGGACATAGAGGGAAAGAACTGATGAGGCAAGATGGCTGCATTGCTTCAGTTTGGTGATTATGTCATATGCTCTCCCTGGCTGTTCTAGGTGGTGATAGGGTGAAACTCACTTTGTGCTGATTCCTCCTCTCACCAACCCAGAGAACAGACATCATTTTCAGCATAATTATTCTCAATGTTGTACTATGTCAAACTGTATTATTTTGGGCTCAGGTTCATGGATGGCTCATCTATGACCATGCATGAAAACCTGGAGCAATTCAGGAAGCAGTGAGAACCCTCTGAAGCCCATTACAATGTAAGGCACAAACCTTCTTTAGCCTTGGGAGAAGATAGTAGTTCTCCCTTATTTTGCCACTGACCTTCAAAGGGACCCAATGTAATGCAACACCTGTATTTGCGAGCCAGCACAGTGTTGTGGTTTGAGTGTTAGACTATGACTCTGGATACCAGGGTTCAATTCCCTGCTTGGCCATGAAATTCATTGGGTGACCTTGGGAAAGTCACATGCTCTCAACTTATGAGGAAGACAATGGCAAACCTCTCTGAACAAATCTTGTCAAGAAAAATCTCATGGTACAGTCACCTAAGGGTCAGCATAAGTCAGAAATGCAACAACAACAAATACATGAATTTACTCTAAAGTGCTACAGAACTTTGCATATTCTCATTTTTAATACACCAAAGGAAGAATAACAAAATCATCCAGTCCTATTATAGTTCATTTTGGAGCTTTTTGTGCTATATCACATGAAGAATCTTAAGGATAATTATGTTTAGACCACAGAAATCACATGCCCCCTCGCTGGACCTCAGAGGGTTGCATCAACACACCTACCATCTGGGCTTTTTCTCCTTAGGAACTCTAGGGGGCAGTTTTTCAATTTTTTTGCCCTTCTCTGATGTTTTATACCGAGGAGAGGCCCTTTAAAAAAACACCCCAAAAAACAAAATAAAAAAACAACAAATGGCTATTCAGAGTGTATAGCAGCGGTCGGCAAACTACGGCCTGTGGGCCGAACCTGGCCCGTCGAGGCCTTGTAACCGGCCCGTGGCCGGTCCTGCTGCCGTTGCCACCGCTCACAATGTGAAGCGCCATTTTGCATTCCAAAATGGTGCCCGCGCTCGTGCACGCACATGACAGTGGGTGCCATTTCGGAATGCAAAATGGCGTCGGAGTCATGCGCATGCACTCGTGAGGCCGTTTTGAGTTCCAAAATGGTGCCTGCTGTCGTGCACATGTGTGCACGAGCACGGCCGCCATTTTGGAACGCAAAATGTCACCCCGTGCTCGCGCATGCATGCACACAACAGTGGGAGTAGTGCGCATGTGTGCGCAAGCGTGAAAGCACCTCCGGCGCCATTCCCCCCCTTCGGCCTGCTGACGATCGGGGGACAGCGGAACCGGCCCCACCCCCAAAAGGTATGCCAACCCTTGGTGTATAGCATAGAAAAACAGAGCAAAATCGCCCATTTCAAGAAGGGGGACTGGGAGGGAGGGGGGAATAGAGGGTGTGGTAAGCCTTGGAGTGGCCTTGGAACCAGCCTTTCATTCTGTATGCAGCTCATGGGCTACCCTTTACCAACTCCTACATTACCGGATATATGTGAATTATATTAACAATTAAAAATATCTGCAAACCTGTACAAAGGCAGCGAAAGTTCTCACATGTCTTTGGACAAACATCTGAAAATAATTCGAAGACAACTCTTCCAGCTAAAATAAAAATAAAAATGCATCATTAAGGACATAGTTTATGTTTACTGGACATGAAAAACGTGGCTCCTAGGGTCAATAAGTCAGTGAATGCAACTGGACATTTTAACATGACAAAATTTAACATGAAATCCAATGGCATCTCTCTTACCAGGTACATTGTTGATGGCTATGTCAAAAAAGCAACGAGGTCTCTGGGTTTTCACTCCCATGGCTTCAAAACTTTAAGACTGTAACAAAATGGCAAATCAAAGTTTTCATTTCCAACTAATGAAAAGAAAATTCTGCTAAAATGAAAGTTTTTAAAAACCTTGATTATGAACACTTACAAATGATGATGTTATAGGGATGAAATTACATAGTTTTTCTAACAGAACTGAAATATTGGGAGTTTTCATGGGTTGTAGATCAGTACTGCAGTCAAGCCCAAACTGCATGACATCCAACTTCCACCACACCCTCATCATGAATTCAACAGTGCAGGGGATGATCTACCAAGGAAGGCAGAGGAAGGAGACCAGGGATATGGTACCAAATCAACATTTGCACCATTTAATCTGTTCCCTGCCATTTAATCCAAGATCAAAACCTTCGGGAGAGTTTTCAGATTTCATAAATTGACTCAGTTTTCAGCACATTTGTTTTAGATTATCTTGTAAATGAAGAAACTAAAATGCATTTTAAACTTCACAAACTAAAATGCATTTTAAACTTCATTTTTTAAAGAGTGAAAAGTATATGAACTAAAAGACTTGATTAGGAAATAAATAAATAATAATAAAAAAAAAATAAAATGTATTTATATTCTGCCTCTCTATAAAATACAACCGAGGTGGCTTACAAGATAAAACAAACATCCCATCCCCCAATACCCCTCCCCCAAAATTCAATTAAACAAACAGAATATAAAAACATACTTTAAAATTACAGAAACAAATAATTTAAAATAGCTACAATGAAAATGACTATTTTCAGTGGCCAGTTACCTTCTCAGGAAAGGCCTGCCAGAAGAGATCCGTCTTAACAGCTTTTTTAAA